AAATATGAGATTTCATATTCGTTAAGCGTTTGTGGGTGGGATCGAACTACATGGGTATGATTGGCGCATGTCAGTTCGTGGATGAGCACAAACATACTTGATAAGAACACACATAGATGAAAAAATCTAGTGTCAACTAGACTTAATAACTTTTGTTATTGCTATTGATTCTAGTGTAATATCAGATGCGGACATAACAACACTCCGCTTAAATAGGATTCGATAATTGCAAGCTCCCGAGGTAAGGTTAAACAGGTGGTTAGTATTAGTGAATTCATGATGAACAGTATCCCCGGTGAACATACAAACTCTCAATCAAAGAATCAGTCAACTCCCTAGACATTACTTAGAATTTGTGAGTGGAAATCAATAGGATACTTGATTGGATAACTTATGATTCAGAATGATCAATAAAGAAAACATTTGTCATCATCTTCAAATATAGAATCAACAAAATGTGTGTAGAAGTGGAATCCAGCAGGCATGATCGTCGTCCACGGAACTCGTTATCTGAATGCATTTTCATACAAACCATAAGAAATTACATCATCCATGTCAAACGTTCACACAATCAGCTTAAGCATCGTCTGTCATTGAAATAAACGTTAAATATTTACAATGCGTACAGTACTGCTTACCTGTATACATTGATACTCATGTGTAATCGAACAATTGAGATGAGATCCAGTTTTTCAGATATCTGATTTCAGTCAGTTCACGATATTGTTCAATCATTGCCTGATAACATCAATATTATCTGGAGTAGAAAAGAGGAATTATCATGAATGTGATTTTCAGGAACTCAATCCATATAGTAAACACTATATGGATGTTTCCCTTGTCATCAGAACTATTATACATCTATGAACGACAACTCTATTTGATTTTGAGTATACAGAGAAATTCTTCAATCGGAATACAGAGGTTTGAATTCCTTGACTGATACGTAGCTGTACTGTAAACACTTATTAATATATACGTACTATTTACAAGAATACAAGACGTCTAAACGATTATCCACCGTGACTAAGTTCCTAGAAGACAATCAGTAAATGTCTCTTTATGTCTTTATGCATTTAAACAACTGGAAGATTATGCGGTTAACATGTAGTCAATTTGTTTGATTAGGGTCGTGGTATTCAGCATCTTAACAATATGTTGGATATTCAACAGTAATCTTCACCTGATTTCTGAACGGCAGCTAAATGTTCATACTCGATTACGCTTTAAAATACGTAGAATTACAAATATTTATGACTTTACTTTGATCCTAATTGGCGCATTAAAGGAAAGGTATAGTGACTAGCAGTTCACTGCATTCTAATTTGTGGTTATAAAATGTCGCTTTTAAAAATAGGCGATATCGTAGGTTGCTAGTAACATGTGATATATGTTTCCGAACAATCGGTTGTATATGTTAGGACCACGGATAGGGCTATTCCGTGGTAAGTATGGCAAGTCAGTTGATTGGATCTTGTAAATTTATCAACTCAGATTATCAGGACGTATTACAAAGATTTACGCATCGAAAACCTGGACAAGCATTGATAGGTTAAATGGAAACCAAGTGTGACCAAATGCAGATATGGAATCAGTGCATGAATTTACTGTCTGGTAAACTGAGCGATGTGTATGTGTGTTTTGACTAGCTGGTTGGACTCTGTTTGATTTTCTTAACCAATCGTTAGAAACATTGATGACATAACTCAGATTCATTGTGAATGGCACAAAATCATCCACATTATATCTTCTTTAGATCTTACGCGTTCAAACTATATCATGACGTTTACATCATACTATCGCATATTTTCCTGTCAAATCGTATATTTTATGATTAATATTCCCTTTTATCACTTACAATGTTACCACTTGATGCAACTCTTGAACTTACACTGACAATTTGATGTCGTTGGGATATGATAACGTGTTAAATCTAAATAATACGTTTCTATATAATGCATTGACCTATTCAATCAGCATCATTCAATTAACAACATTCTATTCATGACCAAATTGACTTTTGGAAACATATCTACGATGTTTGAATTTAAATATGTGCTAATCAAGAATACTACTAACATGTCATATGACTAGTAATCTATGTCACTCAATAGTCTAAAAGTTCAACTTTGTTATCTATCTCTCAACTAATACCGAATGCCAACGACCAAATGTATCACCATTATTACATCATCGAATTCCATCGATTTCGGTTTCTAATTCAATGTGGTGATTATGCAGTGTAGTATTTGTTTCTGTTTCCCTGTGTGACATACGATATTCTTGTATTCAACTAACTTGAACTATACTCAGCATGACATGTCTCATATCTTTTATGAAATATCTTTATGTGGTATTGACAACTGGCATGCATCGTTATTCCGCATATGGTAGATGATCCTAGAGTAAACTTTAATCGACAGTGTTTTGTCTGTTGTTTGATTAGATGGAAAATCAGTAAATGAGAATGGTTGCAGTTCATGGTATTTCCTCATCGCAATCTCTCCGTTTACTCTCAATGATACCGACTCTCATAAAAGAAACAATGATATCCAGATCGCTGTGAAAACTACCGTGATATCTGCCAGTAACTTAATGGTCACAAAAAGTTTAAAAAGAAATAATGGTTTTAAGAGGCCTTTTCAGAACTGATAAACGCTTGAAACTTCAGCACGTGTGGTTCTTAGAACGATAAGAGGCGAAAAAGGTTTAAACATAGGCTGTTAGTGAAACTACTTCGGGAAAAAATCGGGCTATTATATACCCTCAATCTAGGCGATAGCATCGATGAGCATAACTTTTTTGGGGACAGTTCAACTGGACTTCAGCTAATATTTTCAAGGATGTTAGTTAGACTTTAGTGGTTAGATTACTGGAATATCAGCTGGAATCTTACAACTTGGTGTTCTCCTATCTGACTACTCTCGACCTCTGTTTGTCCCTCTCCGTGAGAAAGAACAAAGTTCCCTCTGTGACGATCACAGAGGAGCCACTTTAACTATGTTTCTAACATACTGGGCCCAATATTAGTTCAGCGTCTAACCAGAGCTCATCAAGAGCGAACCAGACAAAAACAGTCTGTTTTGGAACCTGTACGCGGATGTATAGACCGAATATTCACACATCGGCAGGTTCTGTAACATAGACAAACTTTATGACGTCCGACCGTACTTGTGTTCATTGACCTTAAGACGGCACCCGACCATTTCATCTTGAGGTTCTCTGCCAGTGCCTGTCATTGAATTATGTATCAAAGAATAATATTAACTTTGTACAGATTCTCAACTCGAACACTAGCTGAGTCACAGCTTATGGCAAATTGTCATCCAAGTTAAATACTTTAGGCGGTATTCATCAAGGTTTTTCGCCTTGCTCACGTTTATTTGATTTTATCATATACATGCGTTCAGAGGCCAAACCCACTGTTCGACTATTTAGGAGGTTGGTCTATCATGAGATAAACTTGTTGACTTAAAATACTCAGATGATATAGTTCTGTTTAGTGGAGACTCTATCAAAGAGCAGGGACTTCTGACAGTCCTAAGCAAAGATGCAAACATCGTTGAGATCCGATTCCTCCCTCTTAATCGAAAATGTTCCTTCTCAAACAAACAAATGTGCATGAACATCCGAGTTGTGTCTAGGTCATGGAATGTGCAATTATTTTCTGTCAACCGTCTTGCACAGTAATTGATTTTGATAACGCATCATTATCCCTATCTTCGTGGTGATATTCGAAGACACTAGTCTAGACAGTGATAATCGATGTATTTAAAGTTGATGAATGCTGAAAATAAACAGTTTTGTAACTACAGTTGAATTAGCCGATCACTAACATCTGTTCATTGATTTGACAGGGCAAGAGCATAACTGAGGTTTCCTAACCCATTTATGTGTTCGAGTCATGTGTAATATTTACAACATCTGAGTGAATAGTTATGGGAAAGAGATCTGAACGTTTTCAGCATAATCCATTGTTTCTTTTATGAGAGTCGGTATCATTGAGAGTAAACGGAGAGATTGGGATGAGGAAACACCATGAACTCCAACCATTCTCATTTACTGATTTTCCATCTAATCAAACAACAGACAAAACACTGTCGATTAAAGTTTACTCTAGGATCATCTACCATATGCGGAATAACGATGCGTGCCAGTTGTCAATACCACATAAAGATATTTCATAAAAGATATGAGACATGTCATGCTGAGTATAGTTCAAGTTAGTTGAATACAAGAATATCGTATGTCACACAGGGAAACAGAAACAAATACTACACTGCATAATCACCACATTGAATTAGAAACCGAAATCGATGGAATTCGATGATGTAATAATGGTGATACATTTGGTCGTTGGCATTCGGTATTAGTTGAGAGATAGATAACAAAGTTGAACTTTTAGACTATTGAGTGACATAGATTACTAGTCATATGACATGTTAGTAGTATTCTTGATTAGCACATATTTAAATTCAAACATCGTAGATATGTTTCCAAAAGTCAATTTGGTCATGAATAGAATGTTGTTAATTGAATGATGCTGATTGAATAGGTCAATGCATTATATAGAAACGTATTATTTAGATTTAACACGTTGTCATATCCCAACGACATCAAATTGTCAGTGTAAGTTCAAGAGTTGCATCAAGTGGTAACATTGTAAGTGATAAAAGGAAATATTAATCATAAAATATACGATTTGACAGGAAAATATGCGATAGTATGATGTAAACGTCATGAGATAGTTTGAACGCGTAAGATCTAAAGAAGATATAATGTGGATGATTTTGTGCTATTCACAATGAATCTGAGTTATGTCATCAATGTTTCTAACGATTGGTTAAGATAATCAAACAGACTCCAACCAGCTAGTCAAAACACACACACATAGCTCAGTTTACCAGACAGTAAATTCATGCACTGATAAGATTACCTATAGAGATCACCCTTACCTACTACTATCTACGTAAAGCAGTGAAAAAAAACAACACATTAACTGAATAATAAAACTATATTTACTGCAAAGCATTTGAAATTAACTAAGAAGATAAATAATGTACATAGCTGAATCATTATTCCACTTCATTAAAACCAAATTCCTCTTGGTAGATTACCGACTAGAAGGTTAAACTCAAGCAGACTAGGAAAGTACCAATAGTTTCCTGTAACACATTGACTGAATATCATTATATAATCATTTATTTTGTCATCACTATCACCAGTCATTCGATCCAGCATGAAATCGAAATTCTCTGTATCTGCTGCGTATGCTATGAATAGGAGACCAGCATCTCCAGATAGAGTTCCATATGGTTGAGATTGTCGAACAATTTTATATTTCTTCTTAGCTTTGAAATCATCAGCTGCCAGCGTGAGATGAAAACAACAGTTATTGACAATTATAATGAAACGTCAAAACAGAGTTTACTCTATTCAACACACGAGATGTGAATGCCAAATAATTAAATACTATGTTTTCAGTATAAGAATACAAATCCAAATCGATGGAACTGAGATTGCTCAGATACAGGTTCACGAGGAAACTATTCATAAACCAGTGAAAATCGTCAATATATGTCACATTCAAGTGTGGAAGAGAATACTAACTTATCCAACATTGGGACAGATCAGTAGGAATCCAGTGTTAGGTAACACAGACTAATGTAAAGCAAACGGATTTCTACATACTTCATTCAAAAATGATACATTACTAAGATTACCATACTTGCTGCAAAAGTCAACCAATTATTAGTTTGGTTTCAGAAATATGAACAGCTGAATGAAAAGCACTGGACAAATCCAGAAACTAACTGATGCTCAATTCACTCTCTCCTTGGCATATTAGTGAATACGAACTTCTAATGAACCTCATATGTAGATGAAGCATCTCTCAATAGCAATCTGCAGTTTAAGTATAGATACAACTTGACTGAACAACCAAAGAATTTCTGTAAAATTTTTTATGAAGTAATGAAACATGTTAAAGTTACTGCTTACATCCAACCATTCTGGCAACATGTGATGTATTCGGTTTTCTTATCAACTCAAAGCTGCCTTTCATAGTTCGACCAACCCATTGTTCTTTTGTCTCATCTACAAAACAGAACATATGGAAGTAGACTCTCAAGATAACTGTCATGATCATGTTCCCCAGAATTTAATTTAAAAAGGGATAAAAATAAAATTTGATTACACTCTAAATCTTCCACGTCATACATCCATAAATGGTGAAATATTCACTACTCTTTTGATTAGGAAGTGTTAATGAATCTCAGTTTGAAATTATTTTAGCGCGTTAGTTATGAGTTTTATTTCAGTATATACGGTCAGGAAGTCACGTTTATCGAGGACACTACCTCTTCCAGGGGAATCCTACTGACCGCTTTCTTGTGGCGGAAATGTTGTTTGCGAAGTTGAGAGGACGAAGAGAGAATGTGCGGCGCTTAAACCGGGTTGGTAGACATGAAGAGTTCACCTAGGGAAGTTGTAAAACCCTCATTCCAAACCACTGCTTAACATGGGCTCAAGTATCTTGAAGGAAAAAATGGCGTATGAGCCAATCGTTGATCAAGTGTCAACAATTTTATTAACAGTATAAACATATGACTTCTTAATTAGATAACCAACCGGAGTTAATGAAACATGCATACAATGCCACAATTACATACGAATGAATAGTAAACATTATTTACAAAATCAGCTTAAGAGTCAAACTGCTTGTTTGAAACTACACATTTCATCACTACTCCAGATCACTAAACATACATTTTATGATCAATTAAATAAAGTAGTCATCTTTCAAGTGACAACATCTTACTTACAGTATTTCTATCACAAAGCTGTCGATGATTACTCACGAATACGTATCTTAGTTGACTTTGTCATTAAGATGTATCTGGAATCTAAAGACATCTAAGGATTTCTGTGGAGATCTAAACTGCATTATCAATCATCAAAACCAACTGGATATACAATGACAATAGTTAATCTAAGCCGATCAGCCACAAAGAAGAATAAACGCAGACTGGATGGCTCATTCAACGTAAACTGAAAACAGAAAGTTCAATCGATCAAACATAGACGATTACTATGCATTCAAAAGAATATCTCTTACCAGTTGTCTCTTTGAGCGAACTCATATTGTGAACCCACTTCTGAACAAGAGCGTAACTTCCACCTGTTAGCTTGTTGATCGCCACCTCCGCTCGTTCATTCAAGATTTTAGGGTTCTCCGTGCCTCAATACATAATAGAATACATATTAAAATGCTAAAATTATGTTGTATCAAAACTAGTTTTCATTATACGTATTATGTGAAACGTTGACGTAACATTTTCTTCACTACTAATGTATCTTGATCACACAAGTGACCGCCGCGGTCTGACCGGTTTCAACATGTGAATAGATGAAAGCTTGGTAGCAAATGCTCCACTAACTTATTAACACTTCACACAAACCTAGCACCAAACATTCATAATCAAACTCAATATTCATGCAAACCGAAACTCGTTCCTTATTGGTTTTGTCAAGGAATATTTTTAACAACACACCATGGAAATCATGAAAGAATTAGTGAGAGCTTGATAGTTATATTACTCATTTTCGCACAATATTCGTCGATTTTACACCAAGAAACTAATTCAAATTAAGTAGGCAAGTGTAATTGTTTTCAACCATGATCATATAAGCTCATTGCAAAGGAACATCCCTTTGACTGGTTTTCATAGCGATTCTCAAAACAAGATTTAGCAACACCATAGGTATGACATTCAGTCGATTTACTTCCAATGAAGTAAACCGTTCAAATGTTTTTGTTTGTGAAGAAGATACTGAAAACCATTTGGCAGGTTTGGTAGATTTCTGATTTTTCGACAGAGCAGCTTTCGAACAGAACCCACTTTAAAAAGAGAAGTAATACTTGAATGCTCCTAATGAGCTGAAAACTGGACTCAATTGTTAAACACTCTGTAATTTACAACAATATTTTGATGAACATAAATGAATACATTATCTATACAAGCAACGAATTTTGTACTCCGCTCCAGGTCACACATCTTTTCATACACAACTACAACACAATTCAAACACTCACATGAAACTAAGATATCCTCAATTACATACCATCAACGAAGTCACTCAAATCACGCCCATCGCGATAAGTCCAACCGTAAATATCTTCAAATTTATCCACACATCCACACGGCATATTCTGAATAATGGATTTTGCCAAATCAAACAACATGCCATGAACATTACACTTTGCATGGACAAATATGTCACCACCTACAACATTAATAAAACAGATGTTCAAAATTAAAAGTTAGAAGTATCCAAAAGTCACGCAAATTGCTTACAAAAGCCTACACAGTTGAATTAAATACTAGTTTACTCACTTAAATTATGACAATAAATCCCGAAAACTGACTGACAGGTATAGCCGAACTTACCTGATTTAGGCAGTTTACCAAACTTTCCAGATCTTTCACGATATTCATAGTTTTTGACACCCCTGTATCGGAAACCAGGACTGATTTTTCTGAAATATTCAATTCCGAAACCGACACCGTATAGAATCTCATTATATCTTCGACAAATATTACTTGGACAAATCTGACTAATATATTTCTACAACGAATGAATAAAGCATACACAGCATGTTGGTTAAGCACTTTATTGAATCAAAAATGAACACGAAGCTTGAAATATGTGCAGTAGAATTTCAGTATTCAAACGATTATTGTGTGCAAATTTCTTTATACATGCAAAACATCCATATTCTAATTACTTTTCAGACAGGCTTAGGATAAGCCTAACACAACAAAGTCGGTTATTCTCAATTACCATCCTTTACAGCCTAACTTTATGGTCCTCAAACCATGTTCAAACGAATGAGCATTTTTATTACGTTTCATCATTAGCATCAATAATGATAATTGATGTCTTAAAAAGAAACGCGTTTACTGTAATATAAGTAATATAATGACAGTACGGTATCACACAGATACACTAATAAGGTTAACATTCAATCTGAATCTACTTATGCAGATTTTATATTGTTTCGTTTCGTATCCTTTACAACGTCAGCGAGATAACACAAGTTTCCAATGCAGTTATGATCGGTCCCAAGTCATATCAACTGCGAAACGGCGGAAGTACATTCTTTGATGACTTACGCTGCAATTGACACTTGCATCGGACGTAGTAATTAATACAAGGATGAAACAGGCATGTAATCATCATAATTTCACTGATTTCATTTTATAATACACTAAATTTATTTGTTAGGTGATCTCTACATTAACGTTTGTCATATCATATGACATTTCAAATTCACTCATATCCTTCTAGTCGCATTTTTGCATTATGTGCTCATCTCTGAAATCAAGTTCGAACAAGCAACAGAAGCCTGATGAGACATCAATAAAGACGAACATAGTTAAAAACAAAAGCAAATAATTTTTATCTACATATAGAAACAAAAACGCCTGCACACAACTTGTGCATGAAATTAAAAAATTTTAAAATAATCGAAAATACCTCGATTCTTCCAATGGATCCCAAACATTCTCGCGATGCGTTCAAATACAAGTGGATTGTCAGATATAAAGCATGAGATTTAGTATCACTAAGAACCTGACAAAAAAACAATGTTTAGTAAACGCAAACGTTTACCGATTGTTGAGGGGCAATGTGAGGAAAATTCGCATTCGCAAAGTTTGATTTTCCGTTTGGACAAATCAAATTCAAATTGCAACTGATTAGAAAGCCCAAGAAGCATGCAAAGTTCCTTATGTAGCGGCACATACAGATAACGATGTTTTACTAGCGATTTCAAAAGACCTACAGTACAATATAACATCTCTTTTATAAAAAACAACATACCCCAAGTAAGAACTACTGTGTACTGCATGACCCTGACGTTCAAATTAGTTCAAATACTATCAATCGACCTTTGACATTTTAAACTCTGATCCAATATCCAATGCTTCATTCGCGAGTTGGCACGGAGCAGATTGCTTATTTGATCTTGTTTTCTAATGTCATGATGCAGCATTCAAATTTCAGCGACTTTGTATGGAGTCACATTTGTGTACACTAGTAGACTTGCAAACTCTGATATCGGTAACCAAGACACTGCTCCTCTATATATTCAAATGACTGATCTATTTGTGGTAAGATTGCAAATTATATTCCTCTTATCCAGATTGCTAATAGTAGCAAGTCACTTATTGGATAATACGTATTTGTCATTGAATTGCATTTCTAAATATTCTACATAAGCAAGAATCAGCATATAACGTGGACACTGACTCGTTTATATCCTGCCTTTTAACTAATTCATATATAAATACTCAAAGGACGGCCGACTGTAGATACCATATAAAATACGCAACATTCCCATAACAAGCCTGTATAATCGAATCGAATTTGTCGCGTTCACTTCTTGTTAATTCAACATGATTTGAGTATATCGTTATACCCAATGAATGATAGTCTAGTTAATCCGTATCGCTCATTCTGGTCAGTATGGCGTATATTTGTGGATTTGTATATCCTGTAATTTGAGTGAATGCATTTAACTCAAATTAATAAGCATTTTGAATTTTAGTAGCTACTGCACTGTCAGTCAGGCAGTAGGTGGTTTACAATGTGAACATAATAAATGACTAATCGAATGTTGATAAAAGACGATTGATTCGAGAGCAAAAGTATCTTAATTCGTTGATGATGTGAAAGAAAATGGCGTTGGATTTCATGTAGAATGTTGTTTATATCCATGTTTGTACTCAGTTGTCCAACAACCAGCACTTCCATTAGCTTCGACATTATTTAGTGTAATGAGACAAGTCAGCCGCGGACTGAGTCTCTTCTATTTTCCTCTTTGAAGATTGAGAAAAAACTAGCTTGCAGCGAATCTTCTGATGTGACAAAGTTCGTTTGTGACATTATCACAGATGTTCCTTTTTCATTCTTCTAAAAGCTCTGATTCTCACATATAAGACACGTCATCAGCAATAATCTGTGGGAGAAGGTATGCGCTACGAGATATGTTGACAGGCTAGCTTAGTGTGTGATATCGATGGAGTATCTCCGAATACACGCTATGCGAATAAACGTCAAACGTTGGGCAAGTTAGTAATTCTCAATTAATATGTGGAATCCGAACTGTCGAGTTCTTGTTTGGTGAGCTGATCGAACCAACACACCTATGGAAGTCAGTTCTAGAAGGCTGATGCAATAACTTGAGTTGATCGTTTAAGGGTTGGTTTTAAACATCTTAGTAATGTCGAAACATTATAGCTCAAGTATTCACTCACTTCCCTATTCTTTTTATGCATTGTATTTCCTATTATTCTATATTGGATGTTGAATAACTTTGTGTGCTTTAAAAGATAAACTCGCTCCATAACTGCTTCGCCCCACGATGCTAATAAAGACCTGTCGACTATTAGTCTGGTTTCTACTATTGACAGGAGGAGGGGTGCCCATCTCCACGAAACACTGACTTTCAGCCGCCACAGTTCTTATGGTCATGGATTGTGTATAAGACGCTCCCTCATCGACAATATATGAGATGTCCAAATTGATCCAAAGTATCGCGTTTGTGTCCGTAATAAAAATTGACTGAATCACAATCTTTACTTCTTGTTTGTGCACAGATATAGATATTTTCTACTAGTAACCGACCATTTGCTGGCAAATAGTCTACGTTTGAAAGTTTTACGTTACAGTCTGATTTCGTGGTGCCGCTCATATACTCAGTCGGTCCCAAACATCATGGTTGTATTGTAACAGCTTAGGTCGGTTGTCAAGAGTTAATCTCAAGCAACTAAGCATATATCAAAACAGCATAGTTCAGATATTTATTCACTTCTTTATTTTGTTTAGGCGTTATATTTCTATCTATCTTATATTGCTTGTTGAGAGGTTTTGTTTGTCTGAGTAAAGAACCCCACGCTCCACTGTGACTGCGCGAAGATCAAAATAAAGACCTATTTCCCTACGAGTCTGGTTTCTTCCATTAATAACGCGAGGGTTACCATAAGGTACTAAACTGGTGAGCCCTGTGAAACACATATTTGATTTCATTGTTGATTAATAAATTTTTTTTTGGTTTTACTTTGTCGTAAAAGTAGACCTTCTGATCATCGGTTAACATATTCTGGTATATATATATATATATATATATATATATATAGTTGTTTTTTTCATTATCTTAAGGTATTCGTGCTGTAGTAACCATTTTTCGTGCTAAGTTTATTGCTATATTGTTCATATACTTCATGTCAGACTCAATACAAACCCAAAACCTGGAGGATTTGTCACCAGTGGAGATAGACATGTTATGACTACGAAATCCCGACTTCCAGAATTCGATCGTAGTGATCCTGAGTTGTGGTTTGTTCAACTAGAGCATTATTTTCACGAGACATAATATCAAACAGCATAGTTCAGATATTTATCACTTCTTTTTTTGTTTAGGCGTTATATTTCCATTCTATCTTATTTGCTTGTTGAGAGGTTTTGTTTGTCTGAGTAAGAACCCCACGCTTCATTGAACGCGCGCTATCTAAAGGACAGTGGTATTGTTTCTCGTTGAGTTAACTAACTGACTCGACTTCAAAGTTGGGCAGATGTAACGGACTTACCTTTAACATTCAAAGTGTAAAGTAGTCCATCTGCGACACGTCGCAGATTACAGTTACAACTTAGGAAACTCCTCTAGTAGTATCCCGAGTCGAAAAAGATTTAGGAGTTCTGGTACCCTACGACTTAAAGTCTTACGCCAACTGTGACAAAAATGCCTTTAGAGCAAACCATGCACTGGTAACATTGAAGCGCATTTTTGGTCAGTTTGACGGGAGAACTTTCCACATAATCTTCAATAGTTTCATTCGTCCCCATTTAGAGTACGGGAACATAGTATTCCCTCCTACACTCCAAAAGGATAAGGACACTCTGGAGCGTATCCAACGGCGAGCCACGAATCAGTTCGGGGACTCAAATTTAAACCTTACGATGAGCGCCTCCAATCACTCGACCTTTACCATTAGAGTATAGGCGTCTTAGAGGTGACATTCAAATGGCTTACCGTACCCTTAACAAACCAGGACACCCTCTTAAACACCTACTCAAGCATAGTCCAACCAATACCCTAAGGGGTAACACCCAAAAACTGGAGATACATCATAGTAAACGGACTGCAGACACAATTTCTACTCCTTAAGAGTTGTCAAATGCTGGAACTCGCTGCCAGCTGAGCTAGTCCAAGCAACTTCCCAGGAGTCCTTTAAGAGGCGACTTGATCTATTCTTAAGGACTAAGGATAGTATCGTAATATGATTTACCAATTCATTTTCTTTCTCTTTTATCGTTAATATACCTAGGTTCTTGCCTGGAGGTATTGGTGATCCACTGCTACTAGACACGGAAGCCTGTTAAGCGAAAGCTTCTTCTATTCCGTCCGCAACCATTTGAACTGTTTTGATCGTAAATTACGCATCAAAACTACTGTTTACACTTTAATTGAATCTACTCCAGTTAAAGTGATATTGTATTGATTGTTTTGATTCTGCTTTTGTGTAATTATTGCACCAAAGCATACTTGGTCGACTTTTACTTGATAATTTAGTCAAGGTTTTAGTATTTTTTTTACATATCCTTTTTGTATCACCATTGTATTTGGTTTTCAAGATGGCCAAATCGGCTCATAAATGTGGACAACCATGTTGCTTATTCCCCGTGGAGGAAGGGATGCAATGTGATGAGTGTAAGAAGTGGTTCCACAAGATGTGCACCCTACTAAGCCCCGCTGCATATAAAAGGTGCTCGAAGCCCAACTCTCATTGGCTTTGTAGTTTTTGTTGCTCAAACAAAACAACACTCATCCAGGAAGCCATTAGCCTCCTGGTGTTGGCTAATATGAAGGTTGACGAGGGCTGCACTGACAATATTGGTGCTGATAGCGAAGATCGCGTTAGTGTCGTAAGTGCTGTCACGGCGCAAGTCAGACATCTAACTGCGCAACCTGAAATCAAAATTTTTACCTCGAAACAATCAATGAGTGACACCTCATTAGATATTGGTGGCCATGTTGCTACAGCAGCAACTGGTGATCCAGATAAAACAATTACTGTCCCGAGCAGTTCTGATGTAGATGTTACGACTGACGGAATATGGATGACGCGGAAACGCAGAAAATTAGGAAAGACATCTAAAGCTAATGACCGTTTACTTGATAAGTCTTTGGTGGACTCTCAGACCACTCCGCCAAAATCCCGAAGTAAAGCCTCGTCAAACATTGTTGTGAGTCACTCGCTCGACTCCAATGACTCTGTTACAATAAAAACTAATCGCAAGATACCAGTAGTTAATATACAGGATTTAAGGTCACGATCGATAGCCGTAAACACGATTCCTAAAGAAACTAAACCACTCCCTAGCTTAATTATTTGGAATCTGGGGGAGTCGATAGACAACGATCCTGCTAAGAGACATGCACATGATCTGAAGTTAGTAGAATCCGTGGTAAGAAACGTACTACCTGAAGAGGTTTCAGGAGTACATATCACGAAAAAAAAAAAAAAAAGTAAATGGGTTGGAGGCGAGACCCAACCAACAAGGATCTTGAAGCTGGTTCTAGGGAGTTTTGAAGAAAGAGACATATTATTGAAAAGCGCACTAAAAACTCGTGCCTCAAATATCCGTATTCGACCAGATTGGCCGCTTGAGGATCGAATCAAGTGGAAGAATGCTCTTACGGAGTTAAGAACAAAAAAAAAAAAAAAAAAAAAAAAAAAAAAAAAAAAAAAAAATCGGGTAGTCAGGTCTTGGAAGCCAATGCTTCCGAGGCCTGTATGGGTAGAACGAACGATTACCATAACACCTTAAGTGTGTGCTACACGAACG